GTATTTTAATAGAGCCACATTATAATACAACAATGACTGCCAAAACATTATATAATTTGCACAAATATGTGAGTCAATTGAATACAAACTTTCTATTTCTAGGATTACATATTTCGTTCAATAATCAGTTCACGAGATTGTGCTATAAATAACTGGTACTTCACCATCAATCCAGACACAATCGTGCCCTTTTATGCCTAAGATCAACAAGACTACACCCGATCATTTGGTTGAGATTTATAAATAATATAATATGTCTCGATCAATCAAGACCTGCACCAGCTACATAAATGCTTCCAGAGTCCTATACGATCGAGACTAGTCTATATTCGGACATTTCCATACAATGCAAATTGACGAATAAATGAAATTATGTACTAAAATAAAATTTGTATGTGAAATGAAATAATAACTAGAAAACTAAAATGAATGAATTCCATATAACCACGATTTATATAACCGGTGAATCCGATTAAACCGGATGGTTTATATTTTTACATTGGTAGTCAACAAGAAGGCGACAAAATATATTATTCAGGCTTCAATAAATCACAACGAAACTCGACTTAACTATAGTCTGTCATGATGGAGCATGGTATGTGCTACCGAAAGTGACACTCCGCAGTCTGCACTCGATTTATGATCTTCGGAATGTTTTTTGCCTGCTGTAGAGACGTCAGACATGAACTGTCCTAGCAGTAGATAAGCCGGTGATAGATTTCGTACCAATATTTAAACACAGATTCATACTCTTCACATGTAAAACTGAACAGTCAAAACAGTCTGAAGTAAAAACAAACCTTAAAATATAAATGATTTATCTCATCCAGATAGGATGTATTCCGTGTATTACACATTACATAATGATAGTCTTACCCATATAAAATATTTTTAAAAAATAATTTTTATTCCTACCTACCCTATCCATATGAAAACCGAACCATGAATAATTTTTTCCACCGTTTTAGTGCTTTATCCTACGTCATACGAAATTGACCCAATTCTACACTCGATAAATTTACTACGTTTTCACATGACAAGAACTGTCAACACCTATTCCTATTTTGAGCATGAACATGGATAGTTAATAAATGATATAGAATTAAGTAAAATAAAAGCGATAATTTACCAGAAGAGAGAAAAATACAACAGCTAATTCAAAAACAGGTGTATATTTATTTCTATCAGAAAAGACTGAATGAGCCTCCTAAGCAGAAGAGTAATTATCTCAGATCACAGTTAATTTAACTTTTAATCTGTAGTCCTATAAGATTATATTTAGCTGAAGCCGTCAGTGACTGTTGACCTTTGAAACCGATGGCGGCGATGGGTGTTAAGGTCCGAACTCTACCTATTCCTCGAATTGACCAAAAAATATGTCTTGTCGAGACAAGAATTCCGCTGTGCATAAGTTTAGGAATGACAATATTGCCCCTCCCCCTTTTATGATTTTTCAACTGACCATGATAGGACAAAATTTGACAGGAGTGTACTTTTCCTACTTACTGTAGTTTTGGCTCTGGAGAATACATTAGTTTTAAATGGAAAGAGGTCATTACTCGCTACTTATAATTAGGATATATAGACACAGCTTTATGGAACAACAATCACTGGTTAAAGTTTTATGCAACGTTTCGACGTGTTTCCCCCGTCGTCCTCAGGCACATAATGAGAAGAAGTGATGGGCAAACTATATATACATTAATGCTTATTATTAAGAACACACAAGAGAAAATGGTTTATTGATACATTACATTAAATTTTAACAGGTACAATAAGAGGTATATAATTCTTAAAATAACATACAGGCTGATTAAGTAAAATAATTGAAGTAAAGTAAATGAATTAAAAAAGATTAATTGAAGATTAAATAAACAACTATTGCTGGTATTGGGGTCTTTTATTGATAGAAATTACATTATTCATATAACTAACTATGCTTAAAGTTGGAAATTGTTTTTGAATATGAATAATTACAAGTTGATAAGTTTATCATATGCATGCGATAAACGAACACCTTCATCTCTGTTAAGGTCAGGCTGATATCTTCTGATGTGGATAGCTTCATGAAGTCTCCTGGTTTTATCTATGTGCTTATTGATTGTCAGTATGTTGGTGTTGTCAAAGTTGACTTTATGTCCTGTTTTCCTTCCCATAGCAAGATGTTCAGCCACAGCAGATGTTCCTTCATTGCCGGGCTTGTCTTGATGGTCTTTGAGTCGAACATCAAGGGGTCTCTTTGTTTCCCCTATATACGAGCTTCCACAGGAGCACTCAACTTGGTAGACACATCCTTTAGGTTTTTGGTTGTTGGAGGGATTCAATTTACCACTGGCTCTGAGCAAATCTTTAAGCGTTGAGTTGCCAGAGAACACTGTTTCAATGCCGACTGACTTTTTCAGGATCTTCTTGATTTGGTATGATGCCTTTCCGATGAATGGGATAACTAAGCGGGTTGATGGTCTGTTGGGATTAGGCTGTTGGTTGGTTGGTTTTGCCATTAAT